GAATTATTTTTGGAAGCCTTTACATTTAAATTTGGTTTTAATTTGGATAAAAATGGGCACGTAGGACGCGCTAGAAGCGTTTCCAAAGACACTTTCTTTTTGTATTTTCTAAAATTTTTGTTTCTCTTTCGCAAGAGAAGCTTGGCAACAGAGCACGACAAGCAGGTATACGAACCAGTCGGAGTTTGAGAGACGCTCATTTCTTCGATCCGAACCTGCCGTTTTGCCTTTTGTCGTGTGCTGTTCTCGTGTTCCCGTGTTGAAGTCCATAGTTAACGTTCATGCGCTCGACTGGGCGAGTATGTGCGTGGACGTGGACTGCTCCGAGGATAGTTCTAACGAGCCGGAAACAAGCTTCCGCTCGTCACCGGATCCGCCACTCCACGGTGATCACTCGGCCTGTTCAGTGGCGTGGTTTTCGCCGTCCCAGAAGCTTCAATGATTCGCTCCTACTTGGTACTGGGAACGCATTTACCACGGTTAATTGTGTGTGCTGTATGGTTGAATGATTCTGATTGAGTTCTCTTCGGTCCTGACAGCGGACTGTCACGACCGTTGATGTGCGTCCTGAATAGTGTATCTAGCTTTAGGACTAATTAAAAAGAAATGTTTTGGCATTTTAAAAGTCTTTTTAATTTGCCTACATCTTCCGCAGAAACGAGAGCATTCCTCAGTGGACTACAGACAAATTAAGATGCGAGCTGCATGCGGTAATATTTTTACATGCATTTCTGTAGCGCATCGCGCGAAAAGAGTGCATCTGCCGTCGTACTCTGCGCCAAGCAAAGCCTTTGTTCGCCGCCGGTGACGGAAAGAAAGCAATCTAGCCGACGGTGAACGCATTAGTTTTAATCCTCGATTAACTTAAGTGACGAGAAAGCTGGTTCTCGGCTGTAATGCGTGGAAGCGAATACATAAATGCTGAGAACCGGTAGGGGAGCTTGTTTTATTGACTTTCGGAAATAATATCATCGTTTACCTTTGTTTTTTACTAGGAAAGAGAAGCCTCAAATCGTTAGAAATATTTATTGAGGAAGGATATTGGTGGCGAAATACCACAATATTTTCAACATTACTCACTAACGGGGTGATACGGGGCGACAAGTTTGCGCACTCAAATGATCTGTACAAAAGACTCACCGGGAGTCAAGGGAGTTAGCGATTAGAGTGATTAGAGTAAGCGTGTCAAGTGAGTTCGTCGTATTTGTATGTGATCCTTGTTGAATGAGTTGTATTATTGTGTGCTGAAAATGTTTGTGTGTAAGATGTGTATTTAGTTGCAAACGTGAAAGCGTTAAAATAAACTGTATTCAGTCTTCAAGAAGAGTGGTTGTTTGGGCGAGTTGGTTTGACATCTTATACAATCTTGTGCGCAACAAAGACGAGGACAAAAGCAGACAAGAGGACACAACAAGGCGAAACTTTCAACTGAATTTTATTGAAAACGTGTTCCGGTATATATAGTCTCAACCATCGTTACAATAACAACAAAAAGACAAAAGTAAAGAAAAAAAAACATGACAGAGCATAACTGGGAAACAACACTATCTCGTTCTCAGGAAAAACAATTCCTTCTCCGATAATGCAATCGACGGCATAGCAACACACATGTCTCGTAAATAATCAATGTGCCCGGCTTCTATGATTTCGCGTTTTACCGCTGACTTGCATTTCCCAATTTTTACGCAGTCATCCAACAATGGGGTACAACCGCATGCCCTGCAATGCAGGTCAAGCAAGCCACCGTTCTTTTTTTGCACGTTGTTATTGTGCTCGCGAAGCCGATCATTTAGGCAGCGCCCCGTCTGTCCGACGTAGTGGCTGCCACAGGACAACGGAATGCGGTAAACCACGCCATCTGTACAGTCGACAAATTTCGTTCTGTGCTTCTTTTCACATCCGTGTTTGGCACGCACGCCAGGCTTTGATAGTTTGCACAGTTCCATGAGCTTATTGGGCGCAGAAAACACTACCTTTACATTTGATCGCATTGCTATTTTCTTTAGGTTGTGCGACACTCGGTGTATATACGGAATCACAACAACTTTTCCTTCTCGTAGAAAACAATGGGAGCCAGCCGATAAGACAAAAAAGAAAAGTTCTTGTGATTCCGTATATACACCGAGTGTCGCACAATCTAAAGAAAATAGCAATGCGATCAAATGTAAAGGTAGTGTTTTCTGCGCCCAATAAGCTCATGGAACTGTGCAAACTATCAAAGCCTGGCGTGCGTGCCAAACACGGATGTGAAAAGAAGCACAGAACGAAATTTGTCGACTGTGCAGATGGCGTGGTTTACCGCATTCCGTTGTCCTGTGGCAGCCACTACGTCGGACAGACGGGGCGCTGCCTAAATGATTGGCTTCGCGAGCACAATAACAACGTGCAAAAAGAGAACGGTGGCTTTCTTGACTTGCATTGCAGGGCATGCGGTTGTACCCCACTGTTGGATGAATGCGTAAAAATTGGAAAATGCAAGTCAGCGGTAACACGCGAAATCATAGAAGCCGAGCACATTGAATATTTAGGAGACATGTGTGTTGCTATGCCGTCGATTGCATTATCGGAGAAGGAATTGTTTTTCCTGAGAACGAGATAGTGTTGTTTCCCAGTTATTCTCTGTCATGGTGTTTTTTTTTTTCCTTAACTTTTGTCTTTTTGTTGTCATTGTAACGATGGTTGAGACTATATATACCGGAACACGTTTTCAATAAAATTCAGTTGAAAGTTGCGCCTCGCTGTGTCCTCTTCTCTGCTTTTGTCCTCGTCTTTGTTGCGCACAAGATTGTATAAGATGTATTCAGTCTGTTTATTTTTTTAAACGATTAATTGGGCCGTGGCTAACGCCACTTGGATTACTTATTTTCAGTTTCAGTTTTCGTTGCGCCCACGCGTGGTAAGGGTATAACCACACCAGACATGTACAAATTACTCAAAAAAGGTAGTTAAGCTAAGTTACTGAGTATCGACGCCAAAAGTATTTTGAGTAGAGTAGAAATTACGCATTTGTAATAGTAATTGAGTAAACTACTAACTACTGTAAAACGTAGCGAGTTACTTTTGAAGTTACTTTCGAAATTACTTCTTTATTTTTTGTGTTACAAAATAGACAGCAGTTTTGATATGTGAAAAGCCCTGCGAGCCTAAAATGAATACAGTCATGGTTATTACCAAATTAGTTTATTCGCTTGCAGAAGCAATAGCCTTTCAAAGTTCTCATCGGAGAGCTTCCCCCCTTTTCCTTCTAAAGATGTCCCCAGCCAAGCTAAAACGACGTTCCACCGACGTGCTGGATGGAACGACAGCGTTGAATTTCAGAAACAGGCTGTGCAGGGTTGGGTAAGCGGGTGTCGGCATATTTGGTGTGCATGCCGTTGCATGTGAGGTTTGCTTCGGCTAGAAGGTCTTTTATAACAAGCTCTCCTTTTTTCTTCGGCAACTTGAGATTGTTATAAATGACCTCTCTTTATTCCCACTTTGTTCGGATAGTACGCTGAGCGAGTGCACCTGACCGTCAAGGGTAAAAGTCTCGCGCCACGACGATGAGATCATCCGGACGACTGCGCGTCTCGTTGCAATGCTAGTTCTACGTTCCTGAAAAAAAAATTGTTTTGGTTTAACAGAAGATGAAACGAAGTATACTTCGCCGCTGACGCCGGGTCCAACGAAGGGATCTCCCAAGGGTCACTCGCAATCCTCGCCGGCGACTACGGTGTCCTGACGCGCCTGACACACCTGACAAGTAAATCGTTTTCAAAAAAAGATGAGGTCTTTGGCGTGGAAGGTCAGAAGGACACGAAGCATTACGTGAACAAGCATCGTCGCTCGTACAGTTCCTGCTGGAAGAGGAACGTGCTCCCATGAATGGATTATCCGTGTCTGCGTTTGTGTGCGGGGGAGTCAGGCTTTGCAAGGGAGTATGCGCTCACGACGCGGCGCCCATGGGAACAGGCGCCCAGCGGCGAGATCACTTCGGGAGGCATTCACTTGATCGTATAACGTTTTAGCGAACGCCCACGTTTCACCGAATGACACTTTAGCGAATAGTCGGACGCCGCAAAGCGGCGTTTTCGGGTGGGCCAAATGGGTTCACATTTTTGTAATGTGCCGCCGCAGACTGTCGCCGCGAAGCGGCGTAAAGCGCAGCGCGGCGGATAAGCTAACGGGCGCCGCCGTTATTCGCTAAAACGTCGATTCGCTCAAATGTCGCTGTTCGCTAAAATGTCATTCGCTTATGTGATATGGGCCCGGTCATTTCAGTGGCGCCTACTGAGGAACCCCCAAACCGCTTGAGTCAGAACTCACTAAAGGCAGACAACATGAAAACAACAACCCTCGGAGTGTCCCCGCCTTTCACGGTTGCAGCTGGAGGCGCGGCGCCTGCGTGCATTCCCCTATGAAAATGGTTAATGCCATTTGAAAGTCATATTATTGCCAAATGGCAACAGCTGTTTACAAGTAGTCAATCAGCAGGCAACAGATGTTAATCGTCATTGAGACGTCGCCCTGCTGACCCGGATAGCCATTTCGCCACCGTCAACTTTTTGCCATTCTATTGGTTATTGTCAATGTATCACCAGTGTATCTACATGTTAACGCTAAATGGCTAAAGGAGGCAATCAAAGGACTATACATTTTATAGTTTTTTGCCTGCCTCCAATAGCCAATTAGCATTAGCATGTAGATACACTGGCAATGCACCGACAATAACCAATAGAACGGCAAAAAGTTGACGGTGGCGAAATGGCTATCCGGGTCAACAAGATGACATCTCAATGACGATTAACATCTGTTGCCTGCTGATTGACTGCTTGTAAACACCTGTTGCCATTTGGCAATAATACAAAATGGCATTAACCATTTTTATAAGGGCATAATTATTACATAGACGTCATTTGATAGAATTTCGTGACCATTTCGCCATTGTCAACTCCTCGTAAACTTTAAGCTGGCCAGCCGAAAAACTGCCATAGTTTACATGGCCTACATTGATTCCATGCCTGATACACATAGTGCCGGCTTGCAATATGGGAAGAAAACAAAGATTGAAGGACAATTTAAAGACCCAAAATTTATTTATTACAATGTCATTAAAATGACGTGTTTCTTTTCAAGACTAAGTTAATCACCCAAATGTAAACGATGAGTGAAAAAAATAACCTTTCCTTGCTTCCTGACATGTCTGTAAGGTGTGAGCTGAAAGAAGAAAAACAGTATAAATTAAGTGCGCATATAACCAGAAATATTCTTGCAGCACATTCAAAAATATGCACAGAAGAACCTTGCTCACATGTTTTCTCGGCTGTTATATTCACGGAAACCGGTCCTATCGAACGTCCAAAAGTATATATGTGTTAGAATTACAAGCTTCATGAATTACCTTCTTGGTTCTTATGCCCGAACACTGCCACTCAAGGTGGCCGGCATGACTACTAGGAACACATACCCTGTTTCTTTTGCTTTACTCCCTTTATTTTACCTCCTTGCCTCTCTGCATTGTGTTTCTTGCTTGGTCCTGTATGACAATAAGAGATTCAGGCTCTCACGACACCCCATTTTTCTTTACCACCTCCATGCCACCATGTTCAAGCAGTGCTGATTGCATCAAGCCCCACTGCTTTGATGTGAAATGCAGGGTGCAGTGATTTGTTTGAGGCAGCTGTGGTTTAGCTCGATGGGCTCAGAATTTTTGCATCCTTATATTTCAATATTTTTTTAACTGCAACTATAGACAACGCATCACTGCGATGGCGCGGCTGTCGGCACAGCACATGTACACACATGTCTGCTCACACGAATTTAGTTCCTGCGTATGCAGTGCCCATAGCTGCTGTGGGCAAACACAAGCTTGTCTGTAAACAGTGTGTTACTTATAGTTCAACCACAATTTTAAGAAGTGTTGAAAAAATTGTCAACATATAAAATAAGGCAATCTTTTATACAGCCATAAAAGCTAAGGTAAGATAAACAGAGAATACAGCTTCCTGAAACATCTATAGCTATCCCAAGGGCATTATCAGTTGTTACATCTTCGCTCATGTCATGATCCTTTATTGTGACTGCGTAAAGATGCAGCAGCAGGGTTCTACTGTATTTCACACAATGTTTGAATGTACGGTACAATAGCTTTAACTTCCACAACACATCAGCCAACCACAGGTTGTCAAAATGTCAACTCCACAATAATGTAATAAGTATGAATACAATAATAATCCCTGGAAAAGGGGTACAAGGGGGAGAAAGGTCAAAGAGGAATCTCCTTTGTCCCCTTGTTCCCCATCTCCAGTGATTATTACCGTCATTCTTGCCTTGAATAAAAGGGTCTACTCGTGTCGCTTAAGAGAGTGAAGCAGCTTACCTGAAAGAGCATAGTGCCCCCGGGACAGAAATCGAGAGAGGCTGTCCTCGACTTGCTTCCCCACATTGCTGTACTCCGTGAAGGTGCGAGCTGAAAGAGCAAATGAGAATTGCAATTTAAAATGATATTAGCCCCTAGAAAGCTACACTCAAGTATTGGTACCCTTTTCCTTATTGTCCAGTTCTGCCAAAACAGTCATTCATCCATTTGGATGGTGAAATTCGTTCATGCGCATGCAGCTTGTGGCACTCCCATGTTGTTATTGTGTCATTACTTGAATTTAATGTAAATATTCACTTCACCTTAGACAAAGATTTATCTATTACTTTTGATAAGATCTTTGGATGCTTGGCAATTTTAACAGCAGCCTGGCGGGCGCACTCATAGATGCACCACTCTTCAGTCAGTTTGGGGAGTGAGACTTTAAACGCTTTTTTTTATCGTACGGGAGGAAGCACCATCTATCCCCTAACATCGGAAATAATTTTCCTTTAGAAATTAAAGCTACGAAGGTAGCACAAGAAAAGTTTCGTACAAAAAATATAGGCAAAATAGGGACAAAAAACATTTTTTTGGTCATGGGTCCCCAGTCAAGGGGTCAAGAAATAGATTGATCTTGTGTGTTAAAATTTTTTTTCAAAGCAAAAACATGACAGGACTATGTTATCAAGTGTATAGCTCTTTTTACTGTGGTCATAATGAGGTGGCATAGCCTTTGTCATTTGCCCAATAATGTCCAACAAACACAAAACTAAAACAAAAATTCTCGCAGACCAAGAGCCATTACTACATGCAGTGCAAGTTTTGAGGGTAAACATTTTGGCAGAGGCCTGCCTGGTCGGGAGAAAGCTTAAAAACTCAAAAACATCCGTCCACACACCCGCATCTGTGTTCCCTACATAAAGGGGACTAGTGAAGCGCTGTCATGTATGCTGGTAAAAGAAAGTATTCAGGTGTCCCACAAACCGGTATCAACACTTTGACGTATGATGCTGCGAATTAAAGGTCATCCCCCTAAACAAAGAGCGCAGGGCATTGTATATTCAATTCCATGCCACCTACATTGGAAAAACAAAGAACTTCCCAGAAAGAATTCAACAACACAAAAACAACTGCAAATTCGACCACGAGCGCAGCGCTGTTGCAGAGCGCTGTTGCAGCGCACTGTGAGGACAATGAATATCGCATCAACTTTGCCAACACCCTTATAAATGTTAAGACAAACTTCTGCCAGCAGCTTTTTATAGTCACGGCATATCCAAACAACACCAGGAAACATCAATAGGTCCACTGGCACATTGCCATCATGCTACGTGAACGGACTCAGCCACCTAACGAAGTGAAAAAAAAAAGACTATCGTAGAAGAAAACGAAGCTGTTGTCCCCTATCTGGAAGCAGTCACCCCTGAAGAAAAAAACAAGCTGTTTTTGAAACGTTGGGACCTTGTTGTAGGATATGGTTGGTGATTTTTTTCAAATTCCAATGTATGAGTTTTGCATTTGTTTGAGTCATCATTCACTTTTTTACCATATTTACCCGCATAATGAACACACCTCTTTATTCTGAAATTGACATATATTTGGGGGATGCGTTCATTTTGCAGGGTAAATTTCTGCATTTACACACTTCGCGAAAATGTAATTTTAGGTGGCAGTATGACATGGCAAAGTACTGTGGCATGTCTCCACTGACGGAGGCGCATTGACGGCGGTTCGTGGGCGCGCTACAATAACCATGTTCTACAATTTGAAAACCTTTTTTAGGGTGCTTTCGGTGTGTCTTCTGTCAAAGGAAAAGCGCCCTCTAGTGAATAGTAAAAAAAATCTTGCATGTAAGAAATTTAAGTGTCCAATAAAAGCATATGACCAAATAAGATCATATAAAAACCTTATAAAAACATAAGAACAATATAGGAAATATATAAGATTATATAAGTTTTAAGAAACTGAAAAGAAGTTTCTTATAGCTTCAAATATAATTTTATATTGTTCTTATATGTTTTTATAAGGTTCTTGTATTTTCTTATATGATCTTATTGGATCATACGTTGGACATAAAATTTTTTTTATACATTTAAGATTTTTTTTACTAGGGAAGCTCACTCAGCCTGGTGAGTGACGCGACCGTCCTTAGGCCTAACCACTTTCACGATTTCACTGTCCGAAAGCACACTACAGATGACCGCGTGTTTGTTGACATCAATGCATTCGGTGGGCGAAACATGCCCAAAGCTGGGCAATTCCTCGACCCCAGCTTTGTTACGTGTATGCGCCGCTCGGTTTCACTCTTGATCACATCCGCAACTACACACTTGCAGCCATGAAAGCATGTACCGCTATGCTTTGCCTGGTTTGAAGTGGCCTGGCCGCTTGGCGGCGAAAGAAAATTGGCTTGATGGAGCGAGTAGACACGGTATATAAAAACATTCTAAAAACTTCTCAGGTGTTCCTCAAGCTTTGAGTACTGTGACCTATTTAAAGCTTGAGTAATTAACATTCACCTCTAAGCTGACTGTGGTGGTACCTACGCACCCACCGGATCAATCAACCACCTCCCTCTCGTTACCTGACCCCGCCTTCTGCGCATGGTTATGGGCGGGAGTGTAACACATGGCGAAAGGTAGACATATGACTGGTGCAACGAGCATGTAGCTTCTACCACGATTTCAGCTGGTCATTCAACAGAGTATAGTGATGCAGCACAAAAAAATTTGTGCCATTTCAGAATGTCTGAAGGAGAACACACCCTCAAACATCCTGAAACTGTAGAGAGTTTCCTGCAAAGCCACTCGATTTGATTGGCCAAGCAGTAAATAAAAGGTACACTCACCAAAGCACTGTGTCGCCCATGATAAGCCTGCAACTCCCTTCATAATTGGGAAACAACCAAAAAGCCACAGGAATGTAACACTGGATCCTGAAACAGAAAAAAACAGCAAAATGCAGGAATAAACACAATATACAAACCGCTTCAGCGAGTGACACTTAAAACTAGCTACAGTTCTTTGGGCACCGTCTTTTTATTACAGATAATTGTGAGTGAGGACGTGCTGTCATAATTTTTCTAGCCCTGTAAACCTTTCCCGTTCGAAGGTGTCCAACGTCGGTTTCGCAAACTTCATAAAATCTGCCATTGCTCCATTATCAAGTTCTAGAGTAAGTGACAAGTTAAAATTTAAATGGTGGAGGCTCACAGTCATTAAGCACCTGCTTCAAGCCCCTCGGCTGTCGAGAAAACACTATGTCAACCACTCCGAAACATAGGCTTTGTACAGAAAAGAGATTGAAGTTTGCCACTGATTCAGTAGAACTACATCAAATTCATCAACCATTGTTAGCCGGTTCACTATGCGACTCATCTTGACGACGAAACTTGGACTTGGCCAGGGCAATATGTTTTACAGAGAAATGTTTACCGATTTGATGGACGCTGTCATTTTATTAAGCAGCCTTATGTATTTGCTCTTTATGAAGCAGATGAAGAGCAGTGAAGAGGAGCAAAACACAAATAGTGCTATGGACAACGGCAAGTCGAAGAAGTGATAGGACAAGCGCTACTTGTGGTTCTTCAACTTGTCCTCGTACTGCCATTTGTGTATTCCTATTGTTTGAGCAACTTGTCAAGCAGTTCAATTTAGTACCCGTGAAGCGGCTTGTCAGTGGCCTTGTCACTAAAGCAGGGAACATCCAGACAACAAATCACTTTGATGGTGATGACCACAACATTTTCATGTCCTCCCACAAAAATCGCCAAAAAAAAAGCTGATCCTGCACTTATGTTGCAGAATGTGTGCATCGTCTGACGGCAGAGACTGGAGGGTCACACTGCAGTTCTCTTCGTGCGTTACACTCCCAGTTTCAATGCGGTGACCAATAAATGTTTCGGTGATGCAAAAAAATAGAAAGAAAAAAAAAAGACACTGCTCTGAATATTTTGTTGTTCCCCTTATTTAACTTATCAAAACAAATTTCCCGTTAATTGGACCTCAAGATAAACGTGACACGCCGACCTATCAAGGATAACAGCAATCCAGTCGTTGTCAAATTAACTGAGGGCAATAAAAAAAAACAAAGAGGTCATGCAATAATTGTATAGGGGAATGGCAACGGCCCCAGGAAGATATGCTTCAGTTTGTGCAGTATCATTGATTTCCTCATTAGACAAGTGTCATCAGCTTTGGCCACTGCTCATGCATTACATTTTAGAGTGAAGCACACTGTACGATGGCGTGTTTACTCCATGACATGCCAACCTTTTGCTGGGTTCCCAATTATCCTGAATAACACAAAAAATTGCAAATAAAAGAAGCAGTTAGATTAATAGGTCACAAAAATCTATGTGAAACGAGCAGTCCAGATCAGTTCATGCAGGGTGACTCCATGTGGGGCTGTATAGGAGCTTTACAACCACCCCAATAGCTTGTTAAATCAAACCCAATTATCCTCTGCTAAATGTGAGCTACATGGTCTTGGTAGACCGTTCAAATTCCTCATTTACCCCGCTTATAAGTCCTAGAGTTGTATTCACACTGCTTGCGTTTGCTTTGGCCTCCACCCCCCCAGCCATTTTCTCCCACACTAGGTGGCAGAAACACTGTTCTTATTCTGCATGTGGCTGATTATTACAAGCCTTTTGGCTTTTCAATTTAAGTAAATGCACATACTGAAAGGAGCTTATTGCCTAGTAATCAGGTCTACGAGAAAATTTTGAAGTGTAGAATATATGAAGTTTGCTAGACCTATGGCGGACAATATTTACCCTCCAAATCAAAGCAGCACCAAATGTGTCGGCCATGTGCCCATGAAAACTTCAGATGAGACTAATGACAAATGCATAAAGCATATGATAATTACAGAACGACCCGATACAATGACCCAGAAAGTTGAACAAGCTTACGTGAACACGCTCACAAAAACATATCTAGAATGCCAAAGAATCAATGGAAATAAAAATAGGAAGACTTGACTGATCCTCTCTGAAGTCCCGATCTTGGTATCAATAGCATGCATCGATGCTTTCAATCATGCTCTGCGGTGTGGCCACAAAACACACCTGAGTGAAGCTCCCAATCATTATGCTCTTAGGTGGACAAAAGGCTCACTTCAAACAGCTTTCAGCAATAAAAAAAACATGCCAGATACTAACATAACATGGTTTCCCCAAAAATAAAACATATAAATCTCCAACATCTTTAGGGGCTAAGGAAACAACCAAGGACGCACAAGAATGAAGCACCTCATCCCAAAGTGAATGGAACGCCAAGGTGCAAGACTGAATGCAAAACACATCGCTCTCCTAAGCAACTAACACTACTTACAATTTTTTGAACACCTTCCTGGTAAACTAAGAGCGGGAATATTAATTATAATTACATGTGGTGCATCGCCTTCAGGATTGCTGGATGATGTGAAACTCTGAAAGCTCTTCAAGATTAAAGTGAGCAGAAATTTTTTACTTGGCCTGAAAATGTCTCATACTTTGTATCTTGTTCAGAGTTAAGCAATAACACCATAGCTACCTACTAACACATTACGCCTAGAAAGTATCACCTACGTAAGACAAGAATGATTCAGACATTACCTATTGTTAGCGCCATTTTGTAAAAGAGACTTGCACAGTCTGCTCACTTTCCATGTGGCACACCCATGAGTTCTTTCGCCGGGTAGATGTGCCAGACGCATATTAAATCTCTCACACCGGCCTCCATGTCCACAACAAGGCTCTTAACATTTCAGAAGTGTGGTCACGTGGCCATGCCCCTCTGCAGATTGACTGCTGTGGTGACATGTAGCTCAACAGCGGTGGACTTCTCCTACTAGAACCTCAACATGGAAGGAACGAATTCCCAAGGGCTACGGCAGAATATGCGGAACTTGAACTGACCGGCTGTGGCAGCGAACCCTCTCCAAGTTCCAGCCACCATTTCAACAGGGACGACGGGGAGCACAGGCTTTGTCAGTAGCGACGGCACCACCACGAGCCAAAGTCCGTGGCAGCACCTGCGACAAAGAGCCCTTGCATAATCCCTGTCACCACTCCGGCTGGGATCACAGGGAGCACAAATGATGGCGGTGGAGCCACCACGAGCCAGAGCTACATGGCAGCACCTGCAGCAGCGAGGCCCCCACGAGTATACCACTCACCATCTTGAATGGGAACTCGGGGAGAGCAAGCGTTGGGAGGTGACGACAGCGCCACCACCAAAAATGATGTGGCAGCAAAAGAACCAGGTTCTGATGACAACAGCCGCTGACATCCAAGTCAACTCGGTGGCTGTCCAACCAAACAGACGTGACGCGTACCTGAGAAGGCAAATAATGTTTTGTAGTGATCGAAGTGGCCAAAAAGTTGCCAAGCGAAACTCAGCATTCAACTCTAATGATGAGCCACGCTGTTTCGACTATGATCGACATATGTCTGCGAATCGCTCTAAACCGCAGAAGTGTGAATGAAGGCTGCATCAATTTTAATGGACATTGACAATTAATGGACCATTTTTGTGTGCAGGCAACAAACTGCCAGCGAAAAAAGTGATGAAAACTCAAGTGAGTTACTCCGACACTGCTAAATAAATAGGACAGCTTACCATCATCTCCTATTGATATCTGCCATTAAGCCTGTACCTCGGCACTGTAGGTGATGTCAGTGGTGTCCGTCTCAGGGAACTCAAACTAGTAGTTCACTGAGCAACTCCTCCTTGACCAGGCCTGCAGCGATTATAAATATGAAGAACAGATATATTACGTTACATAAATGACACAAGATAGAAAAGGCACAGACAGTACCATACCTTCCAAGTTTGGGGACACCAAATCGGGATAATTTCTAAGCAGGGGAGGGGGAGGGGGGTGTTTTAAAAAGAAATATTGAGAACAAATTTGCATGAAGACAACTTCATTACATTTATATATTGCACTGCCTGTGCTCATGGGATTGCAGCCGTCCACAGTGATGGCAAAAACTCTTCTTTAGTACAGAAGAGAGGGGGAGGGTAATTTCTTTTTTCGGGAGGTTTTTCTGTCAATCATACAAACTGATCAAAATTTAAGAGACTTCTGGGTAATACGGGGAAGTTGGCAGGTGTGCAATACTAAACAGACACAATTTGCTACCGGCAATGGCAAAAGAGAATGAAGGTTGGATCAGCTATGCATAAAGGTACTTTGAACATATACCATATAAAGTGTACTCACGCAAGGCTAGCGAGCGGTGCACTCTGGGTACATCACCGTATTTGTGTTCGTGAAAGCAGACAGCGGAAAGCGCACAGCCTCACGGGCCACACTATGAAGCGCGTCTTTTTACGGTTCAGATGACACCACGCATGAAAAAGATGTCGCTCTTGTGCGACAGTCTGCTGTTGCACAAGGAAAAAAGATGAACTGGAGAAAAAAAAAACGAGGACAGCAGGCGTTGCAGACTCCCAGTTTGTGCAAATCCCGAGAGTCCGAACATGCGTGCAAAATGGTTTGGACACTCCACTTGAAACGAGAATGACTCACTAGCATCATCGGGCAAAGCCCACACAAAAATCATGACACGTGGAGAGTATGTGAGCATGTTAGTGAAGTTAATTAGTGCCCGTCTGTTTTGTGTGTCCCAATAAATAAATAAATAAATCTATATATACATATATAGCGCAGTTGATGAAACGGCTCCAACCACAATGTTTTCTTTTTTTACGCGTTTCGCTCGCGTCGCTTGAGATCACCCACAACGATAAGACGCGCGGGCCGACAAAGAAACCTGGCTAGTACAGATACGGGTAGGCAGCGATGCGTGCCGACGCGAAGTGACGACCCACGTGCGATAAAACGTTTGACAGGTCGACCGACGTGTTGGGTGACCGAATCATGGCTTCGCAATTAGAACTCGCGGTATTGATGTCGCTGGCCTGTAATAAGGCGGAGCCTCCGGGGCAATAACGGGGGCGCGCGTTAACCCATCCGCCGCGCTGCGCTTTACGCCGCTTCGCGGCGACAGTCTGAGGCGGCTCATTACAAAAAATGTGAACCCACATGTGTGTGTGTATTGGCCCACACGTAAACGCCGCTTCGCGGCGCCCAACTATTCGCTAAAGTATCATTCGGTGAACCGCCCCCTCAGGAGGCTCCGCCTTATTACAGGCCAGCGACATCAACACCGCTTAGGAGGACACAGAGAAAAAAGGCTTACCTTCGAGAAGCACCGAGGAATGAGCCAATTGAGCTGTGCCCATAACCTCCAGGGCTGTTCATTCTTGCTCGCGTGGTGCCTCGCCACTTATTAGTCGCAAATTCCATTCTCGGACGCGGCATATCGGATCGATATGAGTACTATGGAAAAATAAAAGACACACCAAACCGCAACAAAGCTTCGGAATCTTCGACGCAAATGAAGTTCAGGGTGGATTGGATTGGCTTGTAAAAGACTTTGTTTCGAGGTGCGTAATAAATGCGAAAATAAAAAAAGTTAACGTAACATTATTTGTAAAACAGTGGCGAACCGAAACAACAAAACGTTTTAACAAACTTAAAAAACTAAAACAAATGTATTAAAATAAAAGTTTTATATGCGATACGAAACGTCGCTTAGCCACACAACTACGACGGGATTTTAGTTTCGGTTTGGAATCGGAGGCTGCGTATTTTCGACACCGATTGGATATCCAGGGGGCGTGAACAATGGCGTCACGGACGTAAAAATAGCAGCTTTTATGTCAACAACAGGTTTTCTTTGGATGCCGCTGACTGCATTGTGAAATGTCGGTCGCTCAGCGTGTGTGTGGCCGGGTGCTCGGCTCGGCGGCTCGGCGGTGTCCGCGCTGGTGCGTGTTGTCAACATTGCCGCCTGTACTCGTCGCGTTCTCAGGAACATCAACATAAGCGTTCTCCATTTTCAAACTTCGCCCGGTGCCGTCCGTCACTCCTGTTGCAAATCAAGATTACGTGTACCGGAGGCGACAGAGCCCAGCCGCAGTAATTTTGTACGCATTTTTCTGGAGCTGTATTTGTGTGCAGTACGACGGATTATCACCCTTGCATAGAATAGCTGCGAAGGCCGTGCAGGCAGCGAGCGAGTAGCCTTGACTGGCATGACTGCACCCGATGCTGGAGCGCTCGTGGCGCGCGATCCAAAGCAACGAGCTCGCGCTTTTAGCACTGTCGTCGACAGCATTTTTCTTTTTTTCTCAGTGTTAGTCGTAAAAAAGAAATGTCGTGAATATCGCCAAATGTCCCAACAAAACAAAATGTCCGAAAAAAAAAAAAAAGGCGGCCGAGGCTGAGGTTTTTAAGGGTCTATGAAGTAATTTTTTTTATTTGTTTGCCAGTTTTTTGCGCCCCTCTTTGAGTACTGTCGCATTTTTTTGTATTATTTTCAAGTTTATATTTTGTTGGTTTTACTTCGGATATCATTTGCATACGCATTTTTGAGCTGACTTCGCACCTGTAGGTATTGTCATGATGGATTCGAGAGCCCATATTTGGGTCTTATAAATTTTGAGCCATTGTAATTTCAACTCACTGTAAATAATTTAGGAAAAAATTAAACGTTTTTCTGTAAATATGGTTGTATTAGCGCGTGTGGATGTAGATTGTAGTCATATATTAACACTATTAAAATATTCAGATATGGCTAATTGTCACATTTTGATTTGCCTGGCTAACAAAAGTGTGTCAACCAATTTTATTTTAGAGATCTGGTGTCTTCGAGTATATAAACTGATTTGTTATTATTTATTGAAAATATATGAACGTAGGATTTCATTATCCCAAATTGTTAACTTCTCTCATTAATTTAAGAAAATTTACAAAAAAATGTACAAATCGTGACATATATTCGGCGATTCAAACATTTGGGCAATGAGGTAATCGGTCATATGATAAGAAACAACTTGCTGATTAATGAACAACATGGTTTTCGTAAGGGGTTTTCATGTACTACGCAACTTGTTGAATTTTATCATGACCTTGCATCTGATGTCGATGAGGGAGGGCAAATAGATTGTATATTCTTGGATTTTAGAAAAGCGTTTGACACGGTCTCACACTCACTTCTTCTCAACAAACTAAGAATGTTAAATCTAGACTCGGCTGTGCTTAGATGGATAGAAAATTACTTGTTCCAGCGTCGTCAATGTGTAGTACTGAATGGCAAGAAATCTGATTACGTTGATGTAACATCAGGAGTTCCACAGGGCTCTGTCCTGGGTCCACTTTTGTTTTTAATTTATATTAATGATATTTCTGTTGGAATTTCCTCTTGTATTCGACTTTTTGCTGATGATTGTGTAGTGTATAGAAAGATTAAGAGTTCAGATGATGTCGCCCAGTTGCAAGCAGACCTTGATCGTATTCAAAGTTGGTGCTCTACGTGGAAAATGAATTTAAATCACAAAAAATGTGTTAACCTTTGTTTTACAAAGAAAAGGAAACAAATTGAATCTCAGTATTTTATAAATAATAACCCTATAACCAAGGAACTTACTTACAAATACTTGGGTGTCATATTGTCATCTGACTGTTCATGGAATGCCCACATAGAGGAAGTAGTCTTAAAAGCTGGCAGGGCAATGAATTTTATCCAACGTAACTTAAAATGCTCACAACCTAACCTAAAGACAACTGCTTATTTAACATGTGTTAGACCCATTTTAGAGTATGCATGTGCTGTCTGGGATCCAGCTCAAAAAACGTTGATAGATAAGCTGGAGAAAATACAAAACAGGGCGGCTAGGTTTGTTCTTGGACGATACGGGAGGAAAGAAAGTTGTACAGAAATGAAAAAAATGTTAAACTGGGAACCACTTTCCGTACGTCGGGAAAAACTGCGACTAAAATTTTTATACTCAATAGTTAAAAATAAAACGGGAATAAATAGCGAGACTTACTTAAAAGAACCCTATTATGTTTCTAGTCGTAATGATCATAGTCTTAAAATTAGAGAGTACCGCGCTAGGACATGCATGTTTGCAAACTCCTTTTTTGTACGAACAATTGCACAGTGGAATCGGCTGTCTGAAGAGCAAGTGTGCTGTTTCAATGAAGACGTGTTCTTTTCATCCTTGTAACCCCCCCTGCTGTAACGCCCTCGGGCACTGCGGGGTAATCATTGAATAAAGAATAAAGAATAAAGGAATGAAGAAATGCGTTGCATCCTTAACATGTTGTTTGAAGTTATATAGACGGAAATGGTCGCTCCCAGAAATAAGTAATTGTAAAGTAATTGCATTACTTTTTGATGTAATTTGTAATTTTAATGAATTATTTTTCACATAGTAGTAGTTGTAATTAAGGTTAAACTACTTTTGGAGCGAAATGATTGTAATTGTAATTAAATTACATTTTGGAAGAAATTTACCATGTATGGTTTTCTTCAATTTGCCGCGGAACACAAGAGCCAATTGAACGTCTAGCGTATATTATAACTATGGTTTGTACCTAAAGTTTGATTTACTTGCAGCAGAAATTGGCCGGTATTGCACTGCCACCGGGGGCGCTTGATTGACAGTAGGATGAGTATAAAAAGACGATACCCGAATTCTGTATGGACACCTGCCAATAAAAAGACGCTAAAGGGTTGTTTCGCCATTTGATTGCCATTGTAGCGTCTACCACGTCAGTGCCAAACTTCAATAAAGGGGTAATACCGTGTCCATAAATTTCAAGCGAGAGCAATCGAATGGCGATAGGGGCAATAGAATGTCAGTCAGATGTATATTGAATGGCGGAAGCCATTTTTATAGGGGTTACCGGACTAGGCCAATACCCGACCAAGGCTTGTTAAGCATTTCTTTCTGCGTTCGTGCGCACCGGTGTAATGTTTTGGCTGCTCGTCGCCACCTTGTCCCAAAGACGCCTGTGATGCAGTTTCTACGGCGGAATATGAGGGGGCCCCATGTTCGAGGATGCCACTTCATCTGCCGGCGTTTTATTAATTTCTGCGCTCAAACGTTTGTGATGAGCAAAATTAGCACTAGATTCCCAAAGTAGTTAGTAATTTGAGTAGAAGTTACCTGAAAAAAACTAGTTAAATTAAACTACTAATTACCCAAATAAAGTTGTGATTGAAAGTTACCAAGTCACTCGGAAAAGTAGTTAAACTACAGTAATTTGAGTAGAGCAGTTGAACTACGTCCAAGTCTGAACCACACTCGCCTTTTTTGTTTTTTTACCAGAATTCACGTGACTTGTTTCGTTTCTTCTTGACCGTTACTACCTACGGTTACTAGCTCCCTAGTGACCGATGTGACAGGTAGCTACTAGCTTTTACCTAATAAATACTGTTAACATGTTTCTAATTTTGTTTAAGAGTGTAGGTTATGCATATTAAGTAAGCTCTGCACTCACAGATGACTGACCTTGCTTGTACAACCATTGTCTGACTCGTATAAAACTGATCTGAGCGAATAAGTCACAGGGATAACCATAAAGGGGAAAAAGTTCGATAGTTTTTTATTAAACAAAAGAAAAGCGGACACACACAGCCACTAATCTGTTCTTTATTTTTCTGCTCCTCTTCTCTGTTTCCACAGTTTGTAAATTTCATGGTCACTAAATCTTTAAAAAGACATCCAGTTTGGTTGCGTCCCCGGTTTCATTTTGAAAGAACACATGAGAGTAGGGTAGTTGTACAGACTCCCTTAATCCACAAGTGAGAGGAGTAATCAGGTGTTTTAAACTACGTGACATGTGCATTAAAACACTTGGCAGCGACTATCTTTTACCTCAACGTTGACCGCAACAAACACTGTGAGAGTTACAAGTGTATCACCACCCAATAACCAGACCTAGCGTCAGCGGTGTCACTAGGGAATGTACACATGCCTTGCGCGTGACGTCACGTTAGGCAAGGACGGGGCTCTGCGCCATGCTGGTGGTGGACTTCACACCGCGCGGAAGCGCTTATCAATGCATAGGATGCCGCTAACTGCCAGGACATGCGCCGACATGCACCATATTTTTATCAAAGGTATCTAGTTTTGTTAGATGTGAACTTGGAAAAACGTGCTGAGCTTACGATGATGACGTTTAGCCAGTACGTGGGGAATTTTTCGGCATCGGTGGGATTGCGCTACGAGCAGAACGTTCCGATACGCCGCCGACTAAGCTTTGACGAAAAAAATTGTCGTGACGCAAAAAGAAAAAAAAGCAGTTAATTGCGCGTTGCAAATTTCGACGAACGGCTTCTAGGAGTTACTTGCAGAAAAATTGTTATGATTTTGCGAAGTACTGGTAAACAACGCAAGGTTACCGTCATAATGTAAACCCCGATAGAAGGGTAAATAAAATAACGGACAAGACAGCTCTTATGGTCTCAGGGTTTATATTATGATATTTCCTATCCGGCTAGCCTGCATACTTTTGCTCCTTGCAAAGGTTACCGTCTTTCGGACGCCACACACCGATTCCCCTGCGGCGGCGTCTCGGCGAGCTTGCACAAAGGGGCCGCCGCCGACCGACCGCCGTCTGACCGGGCTCGCGGCGCGACACTCGCCCGTACTCGGCCGGGAGCCCCGAAGTTGCGCATCAAAGCTTGGAAACGGCATGATGTAACGAAAGGCAAAGGGCATCTACGCCACGAACGGGCAAAAGCCGATGCAAAGTCGTGCGCGAACGTAAACAACGGTAGAAAAGTGCCGTCGCTCGCCGCTATGAAATGCGTCCCGCAAACTCAGCAATCCGCGGCCGCATATCCCTTTCCTGTCGCTCGTACTTCCTCTCAGTTGACGGCTACTCTGTCGGGCCATGCCGACAAAACTGTCGTCAGGATTCGTAGTAATTGCTACAGCCGAGCGCGGCACAGTTTACCATTGCTCTCGCTGCGAAGGGCCGTCGGGTCCACCCCCAGCATGCCGATTACCATCGTTCGACGTCATCATGTGCTGTGGGTGCAATGCATGTATTTACCTAGAGTGCTCTCGCTCCCCAATCGAACATTTTTGTGCGAATCGTGATATGATTTCAATTTACCTTCATTGTAGTACGGTTAACCATACCATTCACTCGTTCTGAGAAACGGACATTTCGTTATTGTGACCTCTAGAGATCCTGAAATGTCTAGATGTTTTCCTGGTTCTTACACAAGATTGGTTTTATAATCTGTTTTTTAGTTCAGCCAGCCGCAGCGTATAATCTGTTTTAACTTACAATGTACCGCTTTGGACGTCACCAGTCATGCTAGACAATCTAACGTTTTACGCGTGCCACGGGACTTGACCTTGGGCGCGTCGCTTCGCCCAACCGAAAGGCCGCGTAACAAGTTTCGAGCACTGCAAAAGATCGCAGCGTCAGTGGAAGTCTTTACATCCGTAGGTGATAATCGGTTATAAATATATATCGGAAGTCAACTATAGTGCTTAACCTAATACATAAAAAAAAATCATTATTTGAAATGTTTTTTGACGCCCCAAGAACTCTTTTAGCTCGTGAAGAACGGTTTCGCCTCAAGCACTATCGCCCCCTGGCACACTAGAAAGGCAACTGTGCGATGAACAACTCTTTCGCAACAAATCTTAACCTTAAGGGAACCCCTTACAGGTTCTCCACGAACAACGTTCTAAGGGAGTGCTTAAAGGAGCTGTTTAGGGTGCAAAATGTTTTACACGCTAAAGACCCATAAAAAGTATTTTACCACGGAATTTTTAGAGTGTACTCAGTCGTTAATCATGTTACTGGAAGGGATATATAAAGTCAACGAACGCCTGTAATTCTTTGTTACGTTTTCCTTACGCAAACTTCTTTATTTTGCTTCAAGTGTTACAGTTGTATTGTTCACGAATCACGACTGTAGGCAAACCTTCAGGCTCCTGTACGTTATTTTTAGAAGAAGAAGAGGATGTGTTTTATAATATGTCTCATTCCTCGATGTTTTTAGGCTCACCCTCTACATTTCTTAACACTTCCTGATGCCCGACAGAATTTGCGTCCTTCTTATCGTGTGCAGATTTACTACCACCTGCACAACAACCTGATCGAGGGTCTGTACCACCTGGCGGACGATCTAGCCAGGTATTTGGCTACCGTGGACATGAAGAGCCCCATGGACCGGCTGGATACCATGGACACACTCAACAGCATCCTCCAGACTAAGGTCACGCTCAAGCTCCGTAATGGCTTCGACATCGCCTTTGTCCAGGTGAGTGCAACACACTGTGGCGTAGATGTCGCGCTTTTAATTCCGCACTTGTTTGACTTTAATAACGGGTCCTTGTATTGCCGCTAGACCCGATTTGGAACGCCTTTGCACTCGAACATTCTATTTGGAGAATATATCTTGTTTTCCGAGTCTCGCTACAGAGTGCTGCCGTCCATTGTGCTGTAAAAACAACTCATGCTCACACCAGGTGCAACCCCAGTCTAAAAGTCTGGTTTGCGCAGAGGAGTATTTCGGTGTCGCTATCTTCCACTTTGAGCTCTCTTCCGTAAAAACCGTTGCATATAGCTCAGAACAAAGCGCTTACTAAAACTCCCTACTCTTAGTCAATTAATCTGTGACTTTCATGGTGCACAAATGTTTCTGCCTTCTGTTTTCTATACTTTATTCTAATTCGTAATAAACATAGAGCCAATTGTTACGGAAAGTTGTTTTCACAAAAACGCCATTACATTTGCACAAGAAAATTTATGTACGTCTGTAGAGTGTTCCGAGTGGGGGCAAGGGTAGTGGCAATATGATGCATAAAACACGTTTTCAAATGCTGCGTTCATCGCGTCCTTTTTTGTGGTCCCTCGATTTATACCTCATGGCGTCACTACTGGCACTTTTATTTGCTGGCCGCGACGTCCTGGCGGTGGCACAGCAGAAGCGACGTCTATGACAGATGCCTGTTCCTGTTTAGGTCGCTCTCCAGCCAATGAGTTGAGGGACGCTAAAGAAGCTTCGGTTTAAAACACCGCGACGACAGCAGCGTCCGCTCACCTTTTCCTACAGCACTTTTACCAATCAAAAGGAAAAGAACGAGAAACTAAGCGTTGCCGAAAAAACAAGAATCATTTTCACGTATATTTTAAAAGATGAAACACTTTTTTATTGAAATCGCTCGAGAATTCGCTGTAAAAATAAAGCGTTTCATAAACTGCAGTTACGGGAGAATCGTAGAGCTGCCAAGTTAATTTCGCCGCTCGGCCCAGCTTTATCGTATTCTCTTGTCCAGGCCACCTTTCTGCGTTATGTGTCAAAACGCCTCTCGCTCCACCTTCGCCGCCCGCAAGCTTCGACGATACTTCCTTCGTACTTCGGCGCTCAGCCGAAGCGCATCTCTACACATGTGCCTTGTTAGGCACATGTGTAGAGATGGGTGTGTGACATTTCTAATGAAAGCATTTCATTCTTCTGTAAAAACCCGGTGTCTCAGAAAAAACTAAATTTAGGTGTGTTTGTGTGTTGTTGTTTTTTTGTTTGTTTGTTTTTTTTTTTGGGGGGGGGAGAAAACTTTGTTAGATATTCAATAAGCCCTTGTAGGTGTATAGGTACACTAAAAATGTGAATATCCCAAACAAATTTATTTGCCGGTATTCTGACATTGAAAGAGCAGCTAATATTATAATATTCCTATGAGCCTATATCGACTTCTCGGCTCCAATCCGCCTTTTGAATTCGCCATTATGTGCGTAGGGAAAGACAGTGGGGGGTATGACAGTAAATCCCACGATAATCCCTCCTTGTGTGTCTCTCTCGAATCTTGCTTTTTATTAACGTGAAACGTTCTTTGCTTAGGTGTTCGGCATTTCGTGAAGCCTGAATCAAACCGTGGCCGCGAGGCTAAACACTGTTTGGTTGACGGTTGGGAAAGGAGGAGTGAGATGCTCGACGCTGATTGGTTAACGGTAGGTCATGTGACCAAAGGCTTAAGCGAGGAAGAGCTCGACAACCCGTGCGCACTGAGGGAGAGGAGCTGGAGAGTATGGAAATGTCGGGAGGATCGCCAGGCTCATCAGCCCGACTAGCAATAGTATAGCTTCATTTTAGTAACAGCTATCAAGTTTACACATGGTACGCGTTAAATTATCTGCTGAAGCGCTCCGTGAACGTAGGCGTCTGGCGTCTGGAAACTCAGAGTATCGCTAAGCGTTTGTAATGCTAAATGTTCACGTATGTAACACAATTGCCTATTGATCTGCCATAATGGTTTTATTTAAACTGACATTTAGCTACGTTGTTTTAATTTTAGAATGGCTGAACAACTCCCTTATAAGTGGAACATGATGCTCAGTCACAGGTTCTTTAAAAATAACTGAGGGTCAAACAAAAAAAAGAGAGCTTTCGGTTGATAAAATAACACAGATAGAAGATGATAGAATCCAATTAGGCCAATATTTAGAAACAGAAATGTTTTATCGTGCCTGTTTAATTAGTAATTTGAGGAGGCAGCCACAGACACCGGGCTATTTTTGGCTGCCAATGAAAGTAGGGACCTTATCGTAAAAATATACATTAACGACTGCATACATTGAATTTATACATGTTCGTCCTGCTGCACGCGTAGATCAACGCCTCTATATTGTGCCAGTGAGTTTCGAACTTTTAGTAAGCACGGACAAAAACGATCGAATTGTATTACCACTTATTCGTTTATATCGATGGGATCACTAAGAAAGTTGCAGGAAACTTCCAGGCAGCAGAACGCGGTCAAACATTTCAGTGACATAACCACGTCTGTCTCCATGTTGTTACAAGGCAAACGGATGAACAACGGCACTTGAAAAGGCAAACAGTAAGAATGGCTCAGGAACGTTTCCGACAGACGAGTTCCAATCTTTTAGCTCACCCATAGATGTAATAAAACAAAAGGTCCAATCATGTGGCATTTAAAACCCACTTAGTTAATTACTTTAACGTGCGTTGCCGAGTGGTGCGCAGATAGGTACATCGAGGAAATACACCACGTCCACGTGGCATTTAACTTGCTCGTGATTGAACCTGGCAGATTGTCTGTCGGGATGAAGCTCATCGTAGGATTCAACGAAGTATTGTCTGCCATCACAGTGGAGATGGCGAATTACACGATGCTAAACGCACGGACAAAACAATACGTTGGATACAGATGTGTGTGATACAACACAGGCACCCATGTTTATTACAGTACTTTCATTTTAACACGTAAAATGCAGCGTTTGGCAATGGGTCGTCCTATGCGCGTTTCGTTGCATACAATGAATTTACACGTTCTTGCATCTAGTTTTAATCCGGTTTCGTTGAATTTTATATAAGCGAATCATTACGTTTTGTATAGTAAGTACCGCATCTAGTAAAAGCAGGTTACGCGCTGAGAGTAAAAAGTTCAGCCCTATCTGGAAGGCTATACAGAGAAGCAGTTCTTACACGTAGAATTGTGTTCCCTGTGACACAGAATTCTAGTGCGTTCCAGTCAGCGATATCACTCTCGCTTTTCCAGTTGCGTTTCATGGAGCAATATCTATTGAGCGCTAGCAGTGCGGAATGGCAATCATTAACGAATTACGATCTCCGGCACAACACACGCCTTTATAGTGTGAACACCGCAGTAATAGCATGGCACTTTTGTTTTTTAAAGTAATTATTGGAACGCTAATACCTTTGCTGATTATGACCAAATACAGTACACACACAAACACACACAAACAATGATTAGGATGATGACAATGCGTCATAATTGTGATTAGAAGGAATACACAGTATAGTTTTATTCCTCACGATGAATGCTCAATTGTTCCAAGTGCAATATTTGTCTTCGTTTTTGTTTTTTTGCCTATAACGCTTTTAATACTCGTGGCCCATTTTTCGTTCCACTCTAAAAGTTGTTTTTTAGTTAAACTTACGTCTTTAAGGCATATACCACAACAGCCAGTCATTTCGTCTTCCCCGGGTAGCCGTCTTCTATTACCATTTTCCTGTGTTTCTTTTTTTTCTTTTTTTTTTTTCTTGTTTTATTATCAAATGCGGGGAACTTTTGCATTAGAAAAGCTTCCACGTTACGTTCGAATTCTAATACCGGTGTCCGTTAGGCCCCACTCTAAAGCTCAAAGCGAGCTACTTGCGAGAAACATTTTTCTCTTTTGCTGAAGCTACGTTTTTATAAGATTGCCTAAATCATCGCAGTATTGCTGCCCGAGGCGGCTTGCCGCAGCAGCGCGCGCGCGCGCGCCTTCGCACACATTTAGGCGGCCGGAGCGATACTCCGGCGGCTGTGCTTCGATTCACCTTACGATGGAACTTAGAGGGCGCTACTAGCCATCGAGGCCAATCTAACGCCTCAAGTCAGCGCGGCGTGACTTTCCGGATTAGCGCAGCGACCCGCTGGGTGCGTAGTCACGAGACAAGTTCACAGCGCTGGACCGGCTGGGATGGCTCGTAGCGTCTGATGCAGTCCACGTTAAGGCACATCGGAGCATAATCGATGGGATACGCCATCCTCGAATAGCGACACGCGCATCTCTTCCGCAGTCGTGATTACTTCACGAATGCATTTCTATCGGGCGCAGCGGCAGCTGCATCCCGCGCTTCCATTTACGAGCGACCGACGCCGAAGGTGGTGTGCCTAGATTACAGTATGCTTCCAACCGCTCGATCGGACGCGTTCCTAGTGTTTGGCCGCGGCCAGATGCAAACGTCTCTGCTTTTGCGCCCGGTTTTCTCCTTTCCGCGGAACCGCATAACGCGTGCGCACTAGCGATCAATCTGTCCCAGAGGCGTCCGCCATTAAAATTGCGAACGGTCTCCGTGGTTTTAGTTACTCCCTCCCTTACATCTGGGCTCTCTTGCCGAACCAAGCCCCACGCGCGCTGTCCGCTTAGGGAGGGGGGGGGGGGGGGGGGGGGGCGGAGCGCGTCTCACCGGCAGCCAAGCCGCTATTGTGGGCATCCCGGAACTGTTTGCAATTTGGGCCGATGGCCGTTCGGCGGACGGCGGAGCCAGCACCCTTTGGCAAACTCTGCGTCTCTCTCTCCCACTCTCTTTCTTTCTCTCTCTCTCTCGCTCTCTGTTCTCAAATGCGGGCGAGAACGTAGTCCGTAAACCCGCTGATAGGTTTTTTTTTTTTTTTTTCATGCCACCAGTTCTTCGGTGGTTGGGACGACCAGTTTCTCATTAAACATCCATTCCGCCCCCAAATAAAGGTACCGAAAAAATTTTGAAGAGGCTCTGAGTTATACTGCTTTTCCTGCCATCTGCCGAGGCTTGGGATCAGGTGACGCTTCACTTGTCGACAGCGGAAAGATATTATTCAAATATATAGGGGAGAAGAAGAAGAAGAAGGGGGCGGAAACGAGGGTGGTTGGCCTATTCCCAGTTTCGATTTTCCAAAATAGTTTCTTTTTTTTTCTTCTTCTTCTTTTTTTATGCGTTTACGTGAGAACGTTTTATCAGCGGAAGTGCCTCCGGTGCCTATCACAAAGAAATCGCGTCCCCGAGAGAGAGAGACGTTTCGATTTATTTTACGTTGTATATGTCTGTTGCGTGAGCGGTTGGTCAAGTCTTCACCGTATGTATTTATGATATCTATGCGGGAAGCCACCCCACCTCCCAACCCCGTTTACCTTAGGTGGCGGCTGTCCTCTTTAAAATGTCAGACCTCCGGGCGAGAGGTGTCCCTTGGGATGCCCTCCGCTGCTTTGTTTTATCACTCCTGGTGTTGCGAGGGCGCCTTGTTTCAATGACTGCGAGGCCACCTTTATGAGCTGGTTGCCTGCCCCGCGGATACTTTTGTCAGAGGCGGCACAATTTAGGGGCTGCTTTCCATTGGCTGGGCGGCGATCGCTGCGGGCTGGAGAACCGAGCATTTGTTGTATGCTTACTCTCCATGTTGCTTTTATATATTTTTTTCTACTGTTACTGCTCGGCGCGATTCGTTGCAACCGCCTCTCGGTTTTCGATTCGTGGTAGGATATTATCCCGCCTTAGGGTAAACAAATCTTCTGATTCAATTTAAATTAATTGTTCAACATAAAATGTGAAAGCGCGTTAAGACAAAAAAAGGAAATAAATAGAACAGTTTTATACAAATCGGGAGTCCAATAACATCAGCGTAAAAACTGGCACATTCAGTGAAAGCTCCTGCAAACGCGTATGGTCGCCCAATTCTTTATGAGTCGCCGGACTTAATTAATATCAATTTCATAACCATTGCGCGAAATGTTGAAGGACGTGGAAAGTTTTTAAATAGGTTTTCTTTTTCCTTTTTTAACGATATTGCTATTACAGCCGTCTGTGCAACTGAATCCTCTGCTACATAATTTCCAAAGAATCAATTAGTTAATGATTTAATGTCTCATCAGCTGCACACTAGCATAGAGTAAGAAGAAGAAAAAAAAACGAAGGAGTACGATTTATCGAAGGGTCAGCAGTGGGCTTATTTTGCACACCTAAAATGAAATACGATAAACACATTGGGTGCTGGTTGGTGTTTTATACATAAGTGGTACCGGAGTAGGTTAATTTTTGCTTTGTTATAAGTTCCAAGAGTAAGAATAAAAAGTGCGCTAGAACGTTTGGTTGTTGGGAAACATGAAAAAAAAGTGTCATATTTAGTTGCGGAGGAGTATCAGTTACAGGGGTGAACACCATCTTGCGATCAAGCTGTCTTTCGAAAAGACGTCATTACAAAGGCGTCGTTGCACACATTCTAATTTAGCGCATGAAATAGATCCAGGTAATTCGCCACATTTGATAAAAACCCATAGTAGCCTCAGTAAAACTAACCAGTATAGTAGCGGAAGCGTAACGAAAGAACTGGAAGTTTCAAATAAGACGCAGAGTTGGGAAGAGCGTTGATAATCAAGGACATGAGCGTGTTGGTGATCTACATTGACTTCAAACGAAAGAAACATACAAGAGGACGAAACAGACGACACAGCTGTCGTCTGTTTCGTTCTCTTTTGTGTTTCTTTCGTTTTAAGTCAGCGTTGATAATTCTTCACAATTATACAAACATGGACGCTGAAATTGGGGCGTGAGCCATACAATACAAGATCTCACAAAACGAAAACCTCAATGTGTTAGAACCGTCTAATCTACAAGAGAGAACCATAATTATAGTCTCCAGCGAAAAATAGGTTTTTACCAGATGAGGGACTACTGACGTCGGTTTGAGAGGCGACAGTGAGAGCGGCAAGCTTTAAGGGTGCTGGACCTAGAGCCGAATCTCATTACCCCGCGAACAGGAGTTCGTTTAAAGTAGCAACCTCCACGCAAGACTATGCTATCTTTACCGACATTAAGTTGGCATCTGAAAATAACACAATTATGGACTACACGATAATCCATATACAAAATCAAAGCAATCTATTTGTTGTTGTTATCGTTGTTGTTGTTTCACAAAAGTTACTTTTTCTGTACTATTAGAAAGCAATAACTTGAAAAACTTCAGACTTTTTTTTTTTTTTTACTGTTTCTTAGAAAAGCGGCAAGAAAATGACTATTCAAGCTCACCTTAATAACTGAACTAAATTTAACTTCACGCAATGGGTTCGCGCAGCGCAGCTCGGACCACACTGAATGAAAGCTAGGGCTGCCAAAATCGGGGGTCATTCATAAGTTTCGACGGGCACGGACATTCGGAAGGTGCGCAGTCATGTGACCTAGTCCGACTGATCACCCAAATGTTTGCTGTCGTTCTACGCTGGCCCAATCGCCGTTTTAAGGCTTTAAAACACCACTGCCAAATTTCCGGGAACAGATCGACTTTATGCTGTTCGCTACTTCACTAGGTTGAATTGGCATTGCTTGTTTTGTTTAATGTCTTGCTCGTGGACTTGTAATGCTCGCTGTCCTTTCTTTGTCCGAGAAACAAGGGTATACCTGATATGTTTCAATACTGCAGGATTAAAAATCGTGCTTTAAAAAAGATCACTTTGCAAAAAGCAAAAAAAAGCACAAGGCAACTTTTGCATGTTCATATAAGCGAACGCCAACACTCTCAAGTGGTTGCATCAGTAAGATTTTGCGAAAGTAATTGCATATTCGTGCACGGTTACCTGATCGTAGCTTGCCCATTTCTGCTGCTTTTTCTTCTCTCGATGCAGTCACTACTGGAGTCTGTGAACGAAATACTGACAAGGAAGAACGTAGAGTTCACGTCGGAATCAAGAAAAATCGTGAGTATTCTTTTTTGTTTCAGTACAAATATTTTGCAAAATTGAAACTTGCATCACTATGTTTACATAAAAGCTAACGATGATAAGATATACGTATTTACTCAAGTAATATCAGCACTATTTATGAACAAGGCCCTTGCGTCTACTTTCCCGCAAAGCACATATACAGCCAATCATCCCGTTGCGCATAAATAACAGCGAATAACTAGATCGAGAACAAAGTGTCCGTACAAATGCAATCTTCACGAATGGTATCTTCGGGCGAAGACGTTATCTCTGTCCTGTAAACCGCTGGAATCATGCTGTCGATCGCGGTGATTGGCAATCCGCGTGCTCCGCGGAAATGCGGACCCTCCGTTTTTCGTCATAAACAGTGCGGCTATTACTCGAGTAAATACGGTAGGTAGATGGTTGTTTTTCGTCTCGTAGAATGCCCCAGAAAGCATAAACCTTCCCGTGCATAACCACAGACAGCCCAAAAAAGGCAGGGCGTGGAGACGTCCGAACATCTCATTATCGCTTCAGAGTCAATGAAGTTGCGACATGAGACGCCCAAGAGCGAAACACGAAGAAAGAAGCGGGAGCATAAATATCACGCCCTGTGTTTCTCAAGCTGCCGGTAACCATATCATTACAATACCTTACTTATCATGAGTGACGTTATGGTAAGCATTCTTGCGGAAGTATTTATAAGCTTCCAAAAATAAAGCGTCTATTGGCAAACATAGTATAAAAATTTACGAAAACTTGTTTCTACGTTGTTTGTTTTTCAAAATTTTACACTGAAGCGGTAATTAAAGTTAATGCAACTTTAATTATCAGTGGTCAAACGAACTTAAATGTTTCGCAAAGATGCGTCCTGATGTAATTGCCGCTCACTGGATATAGACTTCCGAATGATGTTCCGACATTGAAAAAGCGGGACATGGACCACGCCAGCGTGGGAAATAAATAAAACACCAGAGAACGCCAAAAAAAAAAAAAAATCACGCGCGTATATTTTTTCTAGAACACTCGTCAAATTAGCCGTTACAATGAACAAAGACAGCATCGCAAATGATGAAGCCGAAAACCACGTCAACCTAAAAATGCAATCGGCGCAGGGGCAGAGATTACGACGTGCACATGTCAAAACACCATGTTCGGTGCCACAGGGTAGAGTTCATTGATTTGTAGAAAAACGTTTGTTCGACTCCGTCATTTGTCGAGCTCCTTGCCTATAAATGAGGTCATTTTTACTTCATACCATTTTCGGAAAGTAGAAGTTTTGGTTTCTTAGAGGGTGTAGGTGATTAGCAAGTCGAATGAACGCAAGTCTTGCTTCAGCATTTGGTTCTCACTCTGTAATCTCTATTCCTTTTCGCTTAAAATGAACAACAGCGAACGTTATGAGCCATCGGAAACAATCCCACGTCGTTTGAGTGTCCCGTGACTTAGAGGGCAATGCAGCGACGCGTATAACGCAAAGACACGTGACATGTTCACAGCACCAAATCAGTTGGAATGGCTTGTAGCATCCGCTGCGGTTCATTGTGAGGCGAAACTTCGTGTAATCAATCTTTCACCTTTGGGCGATGAGCCTCAAGTTTCTCTGGCATGTGGCATTCCCAGAATGTCGTAATCAAGTAATCAAAAGCCAACAGTGACCGGGTGAACACAATCATAGGTTACAAGGAAACGAGACGCTGCATACAAAGCCAGAATTACTGATCGGTTATCCTACCAGAAACGGAGTTGATTCACTATAGCGCGAGTGAACACGCCCGGTGTAGCTGCCATTTCGAGGTAGCTGAAACGAGGTGCGCCGAGGTGGCAAATTGGGCCGGTCGGTATACGTTGTACATGATGGAAATAAACAGCTCAGTAAACGCTGACGAAGAAAAGTCACAATCATGACAGGACACCATTGTACCCCTATCTGAAGTTTTACAAACCAAAAGGTTCGACGCGAGTTCATTAGTGTTCAGCGGTGTCGTCTAATCCCAAGTCAATTGGGATACTAGATACGCCTATACTGTAAGAGGAGCGGCTCCGGATGAACGCGGCTTTTCCGCGTCCACTCTTAATCCCAGCTTAGAATTGAACCAAATTAGCCGTGGGACCCGTATTCGAAATGGTAGAGTTCTATAAGGCGGAATGAGCTTGCACATCACATTCTTTCGCGGTTTGTCGATTCATCTGAGAAAAAATGGCAATGTCGCGCCATTGCAAGCACTTCCTGGATAAGAGGCCTTGTGGCCGGTCTTCCATGTCCCCAACAAGAGGCCAACGACTGGCAAGACTCGACACGAGTGCGGCGCCAGCGTTTGGCCGGGGCTAGTATCCTCGCGGACGATACACGAGTCCCAGCCTGATGTCGCCCCAGCACTCGTACCAAAATCGATGCCCTGAACTTGCCTCGATATTGCGATGACCCCGTGAATCGAGTACTATACGGCCTTCACGTCTGTATGTTGGCCATTCGCATCAAACATGACTATTCGAGCAGACCTGTTCGAGGCAATTAGAAGTAAAACATGATTCCGCTTTGTAGAAAGCCTAAACTGTATCTTTTGGCTAAGAGCAGTACACTAATAATATTCCCAACTGTACATTCTTAAGAAAACGACAACTTGTATATAGAAAGGCAAAATAGTGTGCACTTGTAATTGGAGTTTAATAACGTTAGAAAAAATAAAATTTCAAATATAGTTTCCAATATTCCGTTGATATATCGATTTTAGTCGTGGCATATAAAAATATAGGCCGCGCGCGTGTTTACTGGTAGCATATTAAAAAAATACTTCCACTTGGAATAACAATTGTACATATTAGACGCGCAGGTATTTGTAATCTACGCGTTTTAAGTAATGCGCGAAAAATTAATCTCTTTCTCAACAACTTACCCTTCCGCGGAAGTTATAATTATGGCGATTGTACCGGCTTACGGGCCAGCACGCAGCGTAGCTAACACACAAAGCAAGAGTAAAGAGCAGACATAAAGTATCCCAAATAGATACTTCGGTGGGATGAAAGCATAATTCATTATATTTTTGCTAAAAAATGGGCTACTTTAAAAGGAACAGAAATAGCGTATAAAATAAATATATATCATATGCATAATGTACTAATTTTTTTTTTTTTTTCAGGGACGGCGCGCAGTTTGAGCGCTGTCTTCGTGTGGAATGCTTTATCAGTTTGGAGCGTTAGAGGCATTATAACCGTTGTAGACGACGTAGAGCATTAGTATTTACAGATTCCTTTTAATAAATCACGAAAGTACTTTTGTTGAAAAAGAACAACAAAAACAAAAAAAACAGTTTTTTTTTATTCTTTTAAAGTTCAAATACCCCTCGAGGGTTTAAAAATATTCGTTTTGAAGTGGTTAAGCACTTAAAGAATTTGTTTGAACTAGTTTCGTTCTTAGATTATCGAGTTTAAAAGTATACAGACACGACATTGTTAATTTATCTTTAGGGGAAAGTAATCAAGATCGATCTTCACTGACCGTACTTGCCAGCTGCAGATTTACCTTTTTCCTTAAAGTTGCATGACCACGAGATCATGATTCCGCTCGACCTCATCAATAGCTTATCACGCTAAAAATAATAATAAATATATATATATATATATATATATATATATATATATATATATATATATATATATATGTGTGTGTGTTTGTGTGTGTGTATCGGATGCGGTCCCAAACTGTATACACATGCCAGGAGTTCTAGAAGTGTACGGTGCGCTTCAGAAAGAAATACTATGTCTACAAAGACTGAAAGATCTGCACGCAGCCTTCTTCTAAACAGAGCTAGCTAGGGTTTTGGGAAACGTTTGTCTGACATGTTGTCCACTGGAGTTCACATCGATCATTAAACTGCAGTTATGTCCTATAAGCCGCGCCTACCTTTACTGCAGGTTACAAGTAAGCGTCTGACTAGTCAACATTGTGGGATTCCTCGAATTTACTCGCAGTCCCTGATGACCGCTAAAACTGGGGAGATGGTCCTCAGCTTGTCGACATTCGTGGACACGGCGCTAAATGGATTTCGACAAAGCGACCTCAAGGAGGTGGCTCTATCGGCGTCCGAGAATATAGGTAAGGCATTGCATAACTTTGTTTTTTCAATGATTTCTGCATTGTGCAAATTGTTCCTTTTAGGAGGCCTTCGTTGAGTGTTTTGTCAGCATTTTTAAGGGACCAGAGTCTGCGCGTTTCCCCGCAGACTCGGCGACATTATCCCCAAGAAGAAACAGGAGATAAATAAATTGTCTGGCTTGGACACTCCGTCAAATGCTATGAACGTACGGTAGGACTTGTTGGGGTTTCGAACGAGCAGAACTTTCCATCAGAAATCATCTGAGATATTTCCGCGATAAATTAAGCGGGAATATATCACGTCACATCAAGTGATGTTGTCACATCACGCTACAGAGTGATGTTATGAAGTCACGTGATATCTTGACGTTACGTGACATTGTTACGTCAGTGATACCTTGACGTTACGTGACATTGTTACTTCAGTGATTTCATGGGATCACGTTTGACTGTGACGTCACATGACGCCGTGATGTCACGTGGCTATGTAATGTCTTCCGGGGAGGCTAACGCGGGCAACAGACTCGTGTAGAGTTCCCATATATAAAGCTGAAACATAAACAAAATACAGGAAGATGCGTTGGTGGAAATCTTAGGGAATGCGTTAGCACAGCCCTTGGGAAACGCCACACACGTCCCCCTTTGGGAATCGCTAGCGCTAATCCCATACCTTTCTGTTTTGGCTTTCTTTTTGGACTTTTCCTTTTTCTTCCTCTATTTTTTGCTGCCTTTTGTGGCATTGTTATGAGGTCAGTGCTAGCGTTCCCCAAAGGTGATGTGTGTGGCGATTCCCAAGGGTCATGCTATCGCATTCCCTAAGAATCTACCAATGAATATTCCGGTCCTTTTCCTCACCCCTTTTTTGTCAGAGTACGTCGACGCCCTTGGATACGTTCATTTATATCACTCGTGAAAAGAGCCACATCCCTACCATTCATGAAAGGAACCGCATCCCACTTGTGGAGGGAACAGGATCCATCGTTTTACCTACACACACACATCGCAGCCACGCAACACTACTACGGAAACCCAGAGAAAACAAACGGCAACCGCAAAGCGGAAACTGATCACGCCCTCATCCAACCGCGCGGCAGCGCCTCCTCTCTGTCTCCGCGCCAGCTGTGCGACGCTCCTTTGATGAAAACGAAAGGGCTCATTTTGACGATAATCCGGTGGTGTCTGTTTGTTTGTCAGCGCTGGAAAGAAAGGGAGTCGTCGGCGCATGCTGACGTCAGTGCTTCGGACCAATGGCAGCGTCGCAGGCGTCACCGTCTCTCCCTTTCCTTCTCTCTCTCCCCAACACATACAAAGAAACAACACCGCAATTTTTTTTTTTTAACTTTTTTTGGAAAGAAGCGTTTTAATGCTTTTGAAAAATCTGGAGTGGGCGCCCAGACTGCTGGGCGCTGTTGCGGCGCAGCCGTTCCGAGAATTTCTCTTTCGACTTGAAATGCCATATACCATCAATGGTTGGGCGGAAACATTTATTGAGAAACGCGTTTATTCTGCAGTTTATCAGCGCTGGCAAACAAAACAAAACAAGAAGTAATTCTGTTTTCTGTAACAAACAATGTACCGACGTCAATCGCTCAAAGTCGCCGTCGTCAATCACTATATTGGGATATGTTGGATGGTGGGCATTTGGAAACTGTCTTTTTTTTTACCAAACTTCAAACTTATGAGCAGGAAACTTCATCTGCTCATAACGGTAATACTTATCATCAACTGACATATCACGAAAATACTTTGTGCCGTTCGAAACGCATTGATGTGTCCTTTATGTACTCACTGTCGTTTCAATGGGGATACCCGTAAAGATATACCAAAAACCATCACCAGTGTTTCCGTGCAAACAATGAATTAAAAACAACGTCCATCACCTGTAATAAGCTATTTTTATATTATGCCTGATGAGACCGTACCTAGTTTGTGTTAAGAAATTATAGATATTGTACCTTTTATAGTTTAAGCTAGAGATGTATTCAAACTAAACACATACGTTAGTGTCAAGAACTCGCCTTCGGCAGTTGCTTTTTATCGCATATTTAGGCATTAGGCACGCCAAACATATGCGTATGCTGTTCAGAATATATGCGATAAATAAAAGAAATACATCAAATAAATTGGAGGCAAAAACGCAAAAAGAATTACAAATGACCTTTTTAAAGCGTGCTCAACTTGTGTGAAGTCAGAAAGGAAACGTTCCATGATCATTTAGTGTCAGCACCAATCCACACATCGTGGTCTATAATTAGAAGGCGCTTGCAAAATTCGTCGAAAACTCTAAAAAAAAAAGAAAATATGTTTGGCATAACTGTCCGTAGAGACATGTTTTGGGGATTTTTGTGCTATATATAATTTTAAATCTTCTGTTGCTGGATTATATTTACATAAAATTACCCCTAAAACTTAAAAAGGATATCTAACTAAGAGTTTGGGATCGAGCTCGAACGAAAGATATCACCTATGATTATCGTTAAAACCACCGCCGTCCTTACCCACTTATTTGGGATTTTATTCCTTGAAGACTTAGCCATTGAATTTTATGCAGTCCACGTCACAACATTTAAAATAAAATAAAAAAATAAAAATGCAATTATGTCCCACTGCTTCAATCCATATTCTAATTCCCTTGTTTGTTTATTGGTGCATTCATACGTTGCAGACATTTTACAATAAATAATTATCGATATAACATTACTAGGCGCCAAGATATAGAGTAATGGCATAAATTAAGGAGGTGAACTATAATAACTCGATTATTGTTTCTGTAGTTGCAGGTTAAATACAGTACAAGAACCTTCAAATAACGTATACTATATTTGTATTTCCAAGATGCGGACCCGCACACTTCGAGGCTGGCATGAAAAGCATTTTTCGAAACAATTGTTTAAACAATTACTCACATTTTGATCATATTCTACGGTATGAGAAAAAGGAAAGGTTAAGCACTGATACAGCACTTTAACAAACATTTTAGGTTTGTTTGTTTTTTACAATGCATTGCTGATTTATTGCAACAATCACTGCTGATCACATTGACATAAGGGAAGCTTCACTCCGTTGAATTTAATCAGTTCTGAAATTCTTACTTGGAGGCATAAGATACGTACTTTATGCATAACGGCCCTAATTTTTTATCGTGTCGTCTGCAGAATATTTTTAAGCGCATGGAAACACGATCCATGAAAATTCTTATGTTCGCGTAAAGAGAGTACAAAAAGATATAAACCTTCAATTAAAAAATAAATGCACTTTGTATTTCAAGAAGCACATAAAGTAGCAAAATTAGAGCTGTATAAATAAATTAATCTGCCCATTGCATTTTAATATAGCCCTGGCAATTGACTATCCTTTAGTGACAGATTACTGCATGTACTAAGTTTAAAGCCCCATGAATAATTAACCATTTGTATGACTGAACATTTTTAGGGAACAAGGTAATCGGTCAAAAATTGCTTTTTTTACCTAGGCTTCTGCAGTTTTGACAACAAGATGCTTAATATACTAGAGGAAATTCGCACCTTAATGGCAGAAGATTCATCTCGGGATTGTAAGTGGCCCGCTATCAGGTAGACGTCATCTCATAAACAATCTAGCAAATAATGTCCCTGCATTTATTTATATCAAGTTTAGGAAATTAGACATATGGTATAGTGGGAATTAAACCAGTATTTTCGTTTAAGATCACTTTTGTTCTTGAGGAACAGCTTAGATTAATCCATGGGTTGTCAATGTATTGCAGTACATAATTCCCAAACAAACAATATTATTTGTTAACCCCCCCTTATTGAGCAAGAAAAACGCTTATTAAGAAAACCCTTATTTAAAGGGTCTTCCTAATAAGCTTTCTAATCGGTATACAGTATCGTTTCATCGTCGTTAGACGCGGCGCCGCATGCCCTTCACAGTATGGGCGATTTCTCTTTTTGCGGCGCCGTGGCTCTCATGAACTATATATATATATATATATATATATATATATATATATATATATATACATACATTAGTTATGTGGATGTAAAATAAAAGTTCCGGTTCTCCTTCTGATCGTGGTTGTGAATTGTCCTGCAGCTCTCAACCTTCGGAGGAAACTCAAGAAGGAGCAGCCTGTCCTGGTCTACACAAACGAATCAGAAATAACGACAGTGAAGCTGGAAGGTAAGTTCAATCGTTTTTGTGTATTTTACTTAATTTGGCTCGAAACGCGCGATGCCTCGCGTTGCTTGGTGTTAAGAGCTTTGTAGTGTGCTGCTTTGAAAAAGAGTTTAATAATAACATCTCTTAGTGCGGATGCACAGTAGTCATACATTTTACCTGTTTTAGCTTCTTAATAACTAACAGAAAAAAAAAAACGAAACTTCAGTTGGGTAAACAAGGCGTTATGGTAACTTTAATTTCTTCTGTGCTGTTTGTCCCGCAAAGGTTTGGGCTACTTAAACAAATCACGTGTCACCCAATACTTTCATATGTGGGAAAATCTTTGCCGGTGAATGTTACAGCTCGCGGCTGAAATTCTCACCGGTAAAAGGCAAAAGAGTGTCAGTTGCTCATTCAGGCTAAGTTAGTTGAACACGAAGAATATTTTTTTGTTTATCAGATACCTTTTTCCCTGCTGTAGGAAGCAGTCTCGTATTTAGTTTATTTGGTGGTTTCCCCAAAATGCACAAATAATATTTAAAAAGTTTTAGCCTGAAGTCTCTTTAAAAAAATGGTACAGCACGTTGACGTTTCCCTCGGAGATGACTTTTATTGTTGTTTAATATTTAATATCTAAATAAACACCGCGACCTGGACAATGTACAACCAGTAGCTCATCATAATTAAATATTACTGCCGAAATAAATATCGAGAAACTCGTATAAAATAATGGAGAAGAAACGCACTCAGCTACACCGAAAAAAGGCCCGCCTGAGCGCGGAACAATGGTAAAATGCTAATTTTGTAAGAAATTTTCCTCTCGAATTCACCACCGTACAGGAGCAAAAAAAATGAACAGTGTCTTAAAAAACACAGATCAAACTCAAAAGAAGGGGCAAGACAGGACATGCCGCATCCCGTTTACTCCTTCATTTGTCTTGCCCGCGAATCCAGTAGTCATCTTGATGGAGATAAAAGCACACTCACGATTCTTTACGGTTTAAAAAAACAAAACAAAAACCCTTCTGTGCGTAATTATTACTCTGTGTATTTGCGAAGAGTGACAAAGACCCTACAGCGTTCGGTGTTCTACAATCAGTCACCTTCAGACTATTCAAAACGGTTTAGAAGTTGTTTCTCAACAGATATGCACTTTTGTTCGTTCGATACTTCATTTCACTTTTAAGTGCGAGCGCAGCCGACAATACCACCCGGTAAAGCCGACCATGCCAAAAAAAAAAGTTCACCGTCATGGCGCTCATAGTTTTAGCATAGGTTTGCCATCGGGGACTAAACCAATCGGGCGCGGGAATAAAAGTCGCAGGATCGCGGCGCCCTCATTGCGCGCAATATTGGTTCAGTTGGTGATAGATTCGCTCCGTCTAATCGTGGCGTCGGCTACGGTAGGACTTAAAGTAAACCCAAGTATGTAGCCACCTGTTGTAATACGAGGAATTGCTAATAAATAAAGAAACTTATCTAAAAAGAAACTCATTTAAGAACAAAAATAACGAAATTGCAATGTTGACGAAGTACACGTATGTGTATACGAGGAGTGTCTGTTAAATGAAGATACTCATATTTAAAAAAATAATAAAAATAAATATTTACTTACAATTTACGCAATTGGAATGTAGTCTCGTTCTGTCTCCCTACACCGCTTCGTGGGAATCATCCATTGCTCAAAGCGGTGCTGTAAGGCATCTAGTGATATAAGCCATTCGTCAAATCGGTCGCTGGACGACCAGCAACCTTGGGTTTTTAGACATGAGGAAGATACATAGAAAGGGGAATCATGTCTAATTACCGTTACCAACACGCTCGTTTTGTACTTAACTTGGGTTTTATTTTCGCATTGAATTGGGGGTGGTGGGATGCGCCACGTACACTCTGAGAAATGCCTGCGCGTCTACTTACCCGCACAACATCCAAGAAGCCAATCTCTGCGATCTACGAAATCAGCTAAGAGAATAATGAGGCGGAACATCCGTTTGGACCTAAAAATGAAATCTGCGCTACGGCATTACGCAATACAAAGCGTCATGCTTGCATTGCGTAATGCCATAGCACAGACATAATTTTTGAGGTCTAAACATATGTTCCGCCTCATCATTCGCTGAGCTGATTTCGTAGAAAGCACGGATTGGCTCTTCGAGTGTTTTGCGGGTAAGTAGACGCGCAGGCATTTTTTTAGAGAGTACAGGCGTTACCGGATCTTTTTTTAGACTATCAGTGATTATAGGGATAGTGCAACGCCGAAATAAAAGATTACATCGCACGCTGCCTTCACCAACGTGGAGCCTCGGCGCTAAGTTTCCTCTTAAAATGACCTGCACGCACACTGCTTCATCGTGATGCTAAACATCACACAAGTAGCGCGGCTCTGTAGGCCGAAATGTGGTTTTTGTCTGGGAATTTTATGGCCTTAAAATGGCCGAAAAAACCTATGCAGAGCTGAGTTTGACCTTCCTTGGCCAGAGTATGGGTATCTTGTGCCTAACTCACCAAACAAATGTCGAAGTTTTGCTTCACTTCTGGTAGTTTCGATGTCATCTGGCACCTTTGAGCTTAAATAGCCAAACAAATAGTTCAGGAGTAAGGTCTTACTCCAGGTTGTTTGGGTTTCAAGTGGTGCAACTTTGTGCCTACCTCACCAAATAAATGTCAAAGCTTTGCTTCACTTCTGGTAAATTGGATGTCATCTGGCACCTTTGGGCTTAAATAGCCAAACAAGTTTAGGAGTAAGGTTTTACTCCAGGTTGTTTGGGTTTCAAGTGGTGCAACTTTGTGCCTACCTCACCAAACAAATGTCAAAGTTTCGCTTCACCTTTGGTAGTTTGAATGTCATCTGGCACCTTTGGCTTAAATAGCCAGACAACTAGTTCAGAAGTACGGTTTTACTTCAGGTGGTTTGGATTTCAAACGGTGCAATTTTGTGCCTACCTCACCAAAAAATGTCAAAGTTTTGCTTCACTTCTGGTAGTTTGTATGTCATCTGGCACTTTTGGGCTTAAATAGCCAAACAACTACTTCACGAGTAAGGTTTTACGCCACGTTGTTTGGGTTTCAAGTGGTGCAACTTTGTGCCTACCTCACCAAACAAATGTCAAAGTTTTGCTTCACCTTTGGTAGTTTGAATGTCATCTGGCACCTTTGGCTTAAATAGCCAAACAACTAGTTCAGGAGTACGGTTTTACTTCAGGTGGTTTGGATTTCAAATGGTGCAACTTTGTGCCTACCTCACCAAACAAATGTAAAAGTTTTGCTTCACTTCTGGTAGTTTGTATGTCATCTGGCACCTTTGGGCTTAAATAGCCAAACAACTACTTCACGAGTAAGATTTTAATGCAGGTTGTTTGGGTTTCAAGTGGTGCAACTCTGTGCCTACCTCACCAAACAAATGTCACAGTTCTGCTTCGCTTCTGCTAGTTTGGAGGTTATCTGGTACCTTTGGGCTTAAATAGCCAAATAACTAGTTTAGGAATAAGGTTTTACTCCAGGTTGTTTGGGTTTCAAGTGGTGCAACTTTGGGCCTGAATAGACCTTTTTCAAGAAGGGTTCTGCAAATGCGCAGGACTTCATCCCGGAAAGGCTAAAGCGCTAACTTCAGTTCGGCGTCCGGAAGAACGGCTGCACTACCTCGCCTGCCTCTCTCGCGAACTCGGATCAGCCGCAGAAGAAGCGGGAACGGTGTCGCAGCTCCTATTTCAACCATTACTCTAAGTTTGAGTTTTAGCCAATTGGTGTCGTGTTCATGTGAAGAAAGGTCCATTGCTACTTGAAAAAAGCAAGTGACAGATTTAGGCTTTGTAGCTGGTAAGTCGCCTGTCATCTCGTATCATTGGCTCAAGTCTAACACTTCAAATATTATACAAGTAAAAAAGTTATAGAAACGAAAAAAAAGTACACACAAACAAACGTTAGAAAGCAAAACCGTATCAGGGCCAAGGTAGGCTCCTAGGATTGCCAAGCTTGTATAAAGTTGGGCGTTTTTCTGTCGTGCTATACCCGGGCAGTCGATGAGCTTTATTGTATTATTGGCGTGGTAACAAGCCGTCCATATCCTATTGCTCCAAAGAAACTGCTTCACTATTGGAGCGCTATACACCTTGCTTGCCTTCCTGATTAAACCGATAAGAAATAAGGATCGAATAGCGCTTTGAGTGCACCCCTGAGTAGCATTCATGCATGCACGCACTTCCGAGACATTGAGGTGTTCCGTACCTCCGATGGCAATAAACACTTCCGTCCTATGCGGAAGTATTTATTGTTCCGCATAGAAGTAGTTCGTCTGCTTCGTTTGCAGGGGTTTCGGTGACGTCAAACAGACGCCGAGCTCTTCTTGGCTCTGGTTGAAGGATAGTGGCTAGACCTCAAAGTCAGCTGTCTTGAGGCCTACCCACTCTCCTTCAGTACGCGCCACTCAAAACTCGGCGTTCCGACGTCACCACAACCCCTGCGAAAGAAGCAGACCAACTTGCGCTCCCAATGCAATCCACCATAGTCGCTGACAGTGCAAGAAACGCCGGGCGTGGCGAGTCCTAAGCATTTCATTATCCCTCCGCAGCCAACGCGCAGCGCAAGTTCGTCTGCTTCTTGCACACAGGCTGCGATCACGTCAGAAGGCCAAATTTATTTATTTCATTTATTTATTTCAATACCCTCAAGGCCCGAGGGCATTACAGAGGGGAAAGACAAGTAACAAAACATAATACAAAAATGAGAATAAATAAAAAAATTTAGCAAGAAAAAAAGAGCAGTTAGGGTGCCTGCTGACAAAAATGGCTGGTTAATGCAGTCTTAAAAGAATCAAATGATGATATAGATATTAAAGATGCGGGAAGGTAGTTCCACTCGGGTGATGACCTGGGAAAAAAAGAGTCGAGGTAGGCGGAGGTGGAACACTGGGGGAATTCCAACTTTATACTGATGATCAAGGCGTAAGGAGATGTGCGGGGGAAGGAGAATAAGTTTTCCTTTTAGAGTAAGGATAAAGTAGTAAATTTTATGAAAAACCGATA